TTCCAATTCTTCCACAATAGGATTATTTAGACTCTGGAAATCTTTGCTAACCTTTTTACTTATTATTATTAGTCCACACAAATATGTCATCACTAATGTGTCGTTGCACTTTTGCATTCTTCCTTAATGTGTGTCTGTGTCTTCCGACCGAAAGCTGCTACCTTGACGTGGTGGTCGGGCTTGAACACCGCAATGACCCAACAAGCTACACTGACTGAAACTTATGTTGCTTTAGGTCCTACCATGCCAGAAAGGTTGTTTGGATAGCGGTTAGACTAAAAGCAGTTACCCAACCCAATCCTATGACTCAAACTAAATCACAAAATATCATGCCGGATCGGTCGGGGCCCGGATTAACAACGACCGCGCTTCCTGCTGCCGTGTCACAGGGCAGAAGTGATAAATGTGCTACTGAGACACACCAAATGAAAAAGAACAAACAAAAACAGGCCGTGTGTGACCGGCCTCAAGCAGTTGTCCCCTGGGCTCTGCGGTCACGCAACCAACTTCCACGGTGTGGGCAGCCGGGAAGTAACAATCGCCCTCACAATCCGAAGTGCACGCGAAACCTCTCTAATCCTCACTCATCTTTGTCTTCATCTTCATCTCTATTATCTTGCTTCCTTTACTGATGCAATCCTCTACTTGATGGCTCTTCACTTCCTCTTCACTCTGTGTGCACTGAAAACGACGGAAGCCAAAAAACCACCATCGATAGTCTCCTAAAGCCAGCCAGTGTGTCTGTATGTGTGTGCTCGCGTGTGCTATTTTAAAGCATGTCAACTTGAATTGATCATTTTCTGCACTGAGTTCTACAGTCGGTCAGTCAGTGAGACTTTACAACATAAACTATGCTAAAGGCATTTTTACTGTTTTACGTTCAGTCAACGATTCTAACCTTTCAAGAATTGATTTGTAGGGACTTGCCTAATTAGTTACAAGGCTTCATCATGAGCTGAGAAATTGTGACCACTAGGGGGTACAGCAAGTCCGGGGGTGTGAGGACAAATACTCGCTGCCACCGAAGACATTAGCTAGTGGCAGTGTCGCGCTATGTCGTGCGTGAATTGTCAGAAGTTAGAATTCATGCATTGGCTGGTCATAGGATCGGATCGGGTTCCAGTGGCTGCTTAATGGTCTACGAGCTCGCTCGCTCGCTTACCTTGTAACCAGAACGTGGTCCTTGGTTCGAACCCGTTGTGGTGGATGCGTACTGATGAAGAGTTGGTCCCAAACTAGGCTGACGAAACAGCTGTCCAGTACTTTCACTCGGTTTTCCAGTGGTTCTCTAAGTGATATGAGCTCATGATGAAATCCTCTATCCAATCAAACAAAATCTCTACAAAACCAGTACTTGAAAAATAATGTCAAAAGCAGTTTGAATATCTATTGTGCGTCGGTGGCACAGCGGTTAGGACTCTCGCCGACCATGCACATGGTCCGGGGTCCGATCCCCTGCCGACGCACACCCGATATCAATGGTCGGCCTGCGAAATTTGGGCTACCGATATCACATGCTGAAAATTTCATATTTCTACCGAAAATACGGTGTAGAATCAAGCTATAATAAAAAAAATCTACCTTACATCCTCATTCGGTTGGATATCAGCCGAATAGCCCCGATAACAGAATGAGGATCTTTGAGACTCAGGCTTTTTGGAATGTGTTCAGAGTTGTGAATAAGAAGAAGGAATGACGATGCCTTAACATTTTTTGATAATAACAAAGTCACGTCCGAATACAATGAATACAATGGAAAAGAGTTTAACGCGGTCAAACAAACAAAAAACGACATCAGTTCATGGAGTCCTTAACAGCAGGTTTGAGCCATGTAGGGATCCTTGGAATGCTAAGCACCAATGGTTTGACACAATTGCTGATATGGCTTAAAGTCATTCTCAGTTGTACAGAAACATTCACTCTCTCTGTGATCTCCCCCAAATCCCCTAAATCGTTGTGTTCTTTCTTGTTACTGTCCTTTCTCCCTCACATTTATATATTTGTTCGCTTCCGCTTTCCTAGATTAAACATCTGCTTTCCACTCAGTACCTGGAGATAACATTTTGTTAAACCAGCTTGCTGAAACTCAAACTGACTGTTGGGTTGTCAAATGGCTGCATTCTTATTTCTCAGGAAAAAAGCAGTACACTGTATGTCAGTCAGGGAAAGTCGTCCGCTTCATTGCTTACTGAGGCTGGTGTCCTCCCTCAAGGCGCTGTCATTTCTCCTTTTCTCTTTTCTTTCTTCTTGCATGACTTGCCTCACTCTGATAATGAAATGAACTTTGTTAAGTATGCGGACGATCTAACTATTTCAATGTCTGTTAACTCCCAGCTAGACTGTACTAAGATGAACAGCTTTCTATCAGGGGTTAGCAAATGGTCTTAACCTAAATCCTTCCAAATGTCAGACTGTTAATTTCAGTTTCCGATGTAAATGAAAGTTAAATGAAGCTGTTGGTTCCTATGACCGTTGCAAAATTGATGATAGTGATATAGAAATCAAGTCTGAAGTTAAGTATCTTGGATTAATTCTTTCTACTTACCTATCCTGGTCTTCCCATGTCTTAGCGATTTCTAGAAGAATATTTCGTCTGACTTTTTACATTAAGAAGTTGAGGCACTCCTGGCATAACTCAACCTCTCCTCCTCCTCTTACAGTTTGTCAACTTGTGCATCTTACCTATTCTTCTTTACTGTTCACCCCTGCTTATTCTCTCCTGGATTGTTTAAAAAAGACTATGTCATACTTCATAGAACTGTGAAGACTGTCAGTCAGTAGGGCGAGTGGCATCCCATTGGGCCATATTATGCCATTTATGCACGTACGTCTAGGTATAAAACTGCACTATACCATATTTGGTGGCACGTATTTTATGTAGTGAAAATAGTGTTAGGCATGAACTAACTAACTAATCTTCTTTGCACTACTAAATAATCCATTTTCTCCACCCTTACAACATCAAGCTTTATTGTTATTGTACTTCTTACATATGTAATCCTCGCAATGTTTTGTTTCGTTTGAAGAGAGAAAGAACGAACATGTTTTGTATTTGTTTATTTTCTCAAAAGTATGAACATCATTTAAGCTGTGTTATAACTGTTAATTTTGTATTTCCTCTCACCATGCTGCTATATCAACAGAACATTAGACTTAATGCCTCTATAGCATGATAAAATTTCCAAACTGAATCGACAATACTGTTTGAAACAAAGTCACTGTTATTATTATTATTATTATATTTAATATTCTCAATTCGTACTTCGAATATTTTTGACTTTATATCGTAAATGTGGACGAATTCCTCTGGTTAATTTTGTTTTAATTTTTAATTTTCTTTATATTTTGAGTAAATCAGATGGAATATTGTGACAAATGCTGAGAATTCCATTCTGCATTTTAAGTACTGTGTTCCCTTGGGTTCCTAGTGGAACATAGTGCTTCAAATGCACGTCTCCACTTGCTCCTCTCTTCTGTTGTACTTTTCACCTGCATCCATGTTAGCCCATCCTGTTTCAACTCCTCTTCACACCATCTCCTCCATGTCACCTTTGAAGACACGACCCACTCGCCGCTTCCCTTTCGGGTTCCACTCGAGCGATGGCCTGACGCGCGATGTCACCCAGCAGCGGCCTCCTCAGCGAGTGTCCAATCCATCCCCACTTTCTCCTGCATATATCTCGGGCGATTGGATCTTGTTTCTTTTGTTTGTTTGTTCCCATAGTTTTTTGTTGGTTCTTGTTCTTTCCGGTGGCCATCTGATCTTCAGTATAGAGCCAGCGAAGACAGTTGTTGTTGTCGTTGTTGATCAAGGTCTGCAACAGGCTGTCGGAAATATTCTTTGTGACCCGCCACCAAGTTTCTGATCCGTATAGAAGAACTGACTGACTTGACGTTTGTATTTAAAATCCGAATCACTTTGTTGTTGAGTGTTGCTGAGTGACGAAGATTTCCAGATTGGTTTCAGGTTGATGAATGTGTTTCTCGCCTTCCCGATTCTCGATTTGACGTCTTCGTCCGTTCCTCGTTAAGTTGAGACAATGCTCCCTAGATTAGTGAATGAAGTAACCTCTTTCAAATCCCTCCCGTTGATGGTGATTGGCACTGGATGTTGCTGTTGTTTTTGTTGTTGGTTGGTTGGTTGGTTATTTCCATAACCTCCGTCTTGTCTATGTGCACCTGGAGTCCTGTCTTCTCTGGCTGCTTCTTCAACCAGTTTGTCGGTTTTCGCTTGTAAGTCTTCGATTTTGTGTGACGCATAATTCAGTTCATCACAATTAGGAATATCATTGGTAATAATAAGCACCCTTGTCTGACTCTCGTGTTTACTCCAGACGCCTCGCTGAGTTTTCCGTTGTGGATGGATCACTTGGCATGTGGCGTTGTCGTACAGTTGTTGAATAAGGTTGATGAATATTTGGGGTACGCCGTAGTACTCGAGTAGTTTGCAAATTACTTCGCGGTCAACGCTGCGCTGTCGAAGGCCTTCTCAAAGTCTATGAAGGAAGTTGAGGTAGAGGTTTGATTGCCATTCCATTCTTCGTTCTGTGATGGTGATGCGTAGGGTTGCGTAGAGTTGGTCAGAACATGATTTGTTTTTCCTAAATCCAGCTTGTTCTGGTTGGCAGAGTTCTGTATCCAGTGCGTCCTTTATTCTCTTCAGGATGATGCCACTCAGGATTTTACTTGGCGTCGACAGCAGCATGATTCCTTGCCAGTTCTTACAGAGTGAGGCCTAAGTCGCCCTTCTTTGGTAGTTTCACGAGGTAACCTTTCCTCTCCAGTCAGTAGGCACCTTTGCTGAAGTGATGGTCAATTCTAAATTTTTTCTTGTCTCATAATTTCATGTTAAACTACTCAAAGTTTTACAGCAATTGAGTAGTCTTGTTGTAGCTCACTTGAAAAAAATGGCTTGGTGCATATTTCAAGGGAACCTGATGCAAAAAAGTAAATGCTCTTATATTTTCTTCCCTTTGTTTTTTTTCATTTATTTTCTTCAGTGGATAATGATAGAGTTGGCCTGTGCATTCTCCGGTTATACCATCGTACCGCTGTATGACACTCTGGGCGATGAAGCTGTGCTAAGCATAGTCAAGCAAAGTGAGTGTGTTAGTGTCATTAATTATTATTATTTGATTTTTATTTAGAAGTGTTGTCTTTTGCGTACTCTCTTCTCAGGTGGCTCGTCCACTGTAGTAGGAGGCATAACAAATATGGACGACGCCATTGTTGAATACAGTTCGAACGTTTACTCAATGGCTTTGCTTTCCGCGTGTAAACTGCATTTTACATCATTTATTGCGAAGGAGACAAGACACACACGCGCGCACTTGAGGAGGCCGTCGACTGACATCATTTGCTTGACCATATATAGTGGAGCTGAATGTTAAACGAAGAGTTGGATAAGAGAAGATCAAAGTTTCGGTGAACATGAGGTCAAATGAGAAGTTGATGATGTAATACAGTGAGCAGAACTCATAAGATCAAGAAAAATTATCTCTTAACAGAGTCAAGCAAAAAATAAAGTGGGCGGGGGGGGGAGTGAAAAGAAAAGTTAATAAGATCATAAATCAAAGAGTTACAAAGAAGTGAGTCACCAGGGTAATTGAAGTCCAACAACAACGGATTCTTTTTGGACACATAAGTCAGACTTCAATCGTTTTATTGCTATAGCTTCAGCAAACTTGAGAAGACTTGAGGTACTACTTTGTCTGTTAATTATTTTGAATGATTCCAGCGCATCTACTCGGTGTCCTATGTCAATCAGGTGTTTGGTGGCAAGTGAAGAGTACAACTTCCTACTGGAATTTCATAACATACATCTTGGTGCTAGTCTACTAATGTAGATAAGTTTTTTTTGATTGAACACTAGTCAGTAACTAGTGTAATGTGTCTAGTCCTATCTTCGGTGCAGAATGAATTCTATCAGTCATGTTTGCAATGTGGCCATCATGCTGATAGAATTCATTCTGCATCGAAGATAGGACTAGACACATTACACTAGTTACTGACTAGTGTTCAATCAAAAATATCCAATACAGTCCTACAGGAGGTCAGTCGCGAGCCTGAATAGCTCAGTGGTAACGTCTCTGACTGCAGCACTGGGTGACGCGGGTTCGAATCTCAGAAGGGACATGAGTTCCTTCAAGGTTGCAGATACGCCTTGCTGATGAGTGCCAACTAGCACGAAACCTAGGTCAAGCAAGGCTTCCTGCCGATTGCCTCCAACCATCTAGTACTGTAACAACAGAAGACAAGGGCCAGGCAACAGATCGTTTATTACGAAAAATCAACACGTATTTATAGATTTTTATGTACATTATTGTAGGTCAATGTTATTAGAAAATACAGTCTGTTGATTGGTTGTTTCTCACACAAAGTTAACCTTGCATCTCTGGTGGCTGTGTCAGTTCATCTATATGTTAACTGTAACCGCCTGTCCACCTTGACCTTTGACCTCAATTACTGTCAACCAATTTGGCCAGTAACCATCTCTCACCACAACATGACTAATATTTGATACATAAACATTGACCTCAATTACTGTCCACTACTTGGCTAGTAGACAGCTCTCACCACACTCGTCCCCCCGTCAAATAGTTTGGACTGAAGTCGGCTCGGTCTTCTCGGTTCTTGGGGCTTTGCTCTGTTGTCTTGCTGTCTGGAATCTCGGCGCTTGCGGCTGTCCACTTGTTTAACGGTGTTTACCATTGCGATTGTGTCTGCGTAACCCCATCTCAACGTGACCATATATGGTCCTTCCCACTTTGGAAACTGTTTGCCTGACCCTGTCGCACATTCGTAGGTATTTCGCCTCACACTTCCATATGCTGCTTTCTCCCGACCTCCCAGCAGCGTCCCAAGTAGCAGCCTCATCGCTGACAGATCTTGAACGCCACTCAACTGCGAAGAAGCCTCGAAGTCCTGCCCGAAGATCCATATGTCTCCATCAAAAACTGCAGGGCATAGGCTTCCCATTTGTCGGTAGGCAGCGACACCAAATGTAACAACAGAAGACAAGGACCAGGCAACAGATCGTTTATTACGAAAAATCAACACGTATTTATAGATTTTTATGTACATTATTGTAGGTCAATGTTATTAGAAAATACAGTCTGTTGATTGGTTGTTTCTCACACAAAGTTAACCTTGCATCTCTGGTGGCTGTGTCAGTTCATCTATATGTTAACTGTAACCGCCTGTCCACCTTGACCTTTGACCTCAATTACTGTCAACCAATTTGGCCAGTAACCATCTCTCACCACAACATGACTAATATTTGATACATAAACATTGACCTCAATTACTGTCCACCACTTGGCTAGTAGACAGCTCTCACCACAGTACCAATAGATTAGGTTTGTAAAAAATTATATTTGTAAAATCTCATCGAAATTGAAATGATTAATTCCAACGTTTCTTGTGTACGGCGATCTGGTCCGAACTTCTTCAGGGAAATTAATCGGAATTAACATAACATAAAAGTAACAACCTTGTTTTTAAAAACTTTGTCCAATAATGAGTCATGAAACAAGCACCAACACGAATAATAAACAAAATTTTATGAACTGCGATCAAAATTTGACCTCAGACTTTCAACATTAGTCTACTTTTGTTAAAATATATGTGTATATGCAGTATACAATGGTGTTTGTATGTGTGTGTGGGTGAACAGTCGTAAAACATTTTGTTAACCTTTCCATAAGAAGACGTAGACAATAGGGAATTTTGATCAAGTACTACTAGTTGTTGATACATATCCAATTTTTATGTATTAATCAGGATTTTCCATGCATCAGCTAATACCACACCACACCTTCACGTCTGTTCGAACTGTTGGGATTCACCCATATATACGCAGGGCTCCTGCATCAGTCAGTCTTTCTTTATATGAACCGAAACCTTTCTGTAGAACCTTAGTCTTGTCAAAGTCGATTTTGTGTCCCATTTCTATCGAATGCAATGCAGTGGAATCGCTGATTTGTTTTCTAGCTTCTTCAAGTCTGCAGAGGTCTTTGGAACCAAACACCTTTAGACATTGTTTATACTCTTACTCTTATATTTATTTACCTGTCTGGAAGTTTCTCCTACATATATGGCGTTACAATCCCCACAATTGATCTGGTATACACAATTCTGATGGTTTTCTTGTTCTATTTTATCCTTAACCTTCACCAGTGGTGATGAGCGTAAGGTGTTTGATGCACGAAAATGCACTCTTATGTTATGATCGTTAAGGATTCGCTTTATTTCATCGGATGTTTCTTTGCGGTTAGGAATCACCGCTGTACTAACCCAATTCTTAGCATCAGGTTTAGATTCATCCTTATCTTCACATTTTAAATATCTTTTTTGATGAAGGCCTCTAGGATAATTATTTGATTCAAGAGTGGATTGAACCAATTTTAGTTCCTTGTTGATCTCTTCGTCCTCCTCCTCAGTAACTAGACGTTTGGATCTGTTAATCAGATTCTTGGCCACAGTGTTACTTTGGTGGTAAATGGGGGTGTGCTGAATAGTAGTAGTAAGTAGTCTAGATATCTGTCCGAATTTGTCGGCTTTCTGAATATGATTATTCTAAATTTGCCATCTAGCTTTCTTGTTACTAAACAGTCCAGGTTTAGGTTTGTATGAATTTGATTGATTTGACTAACAGCCTAAAAGTCCGCTCCGTCCTCCTTTATGGCTGTGAGACCTGGCCATTGAGAGTGGAAGACATGAAAAGATTAGCTGTCTTCGATCATAGGTGTCTGCGTTCTCTCTCCCGTGTGAAGTGGTATAATATGATGAGCAATATTGAGGTTAGGCGTTGAGTGCTAGGTAAGGAGGGGAAATCAGTCGACGAGACTGTGAAATTACATCGACTGAGATGGTTAGGACATGTGTTACGTATGCCTAGTCATCGCCTTCCTCGACTGATGGGCAATGTTAGCTGATATAGGGTCAGGCTGGAAAAGAGCTTGTCAGCGGCGGTCAAACCAAAACATGGCTTCACCAGTCAATAAAATCTACAACAGTTAGTCTAAGCCACGTAGGAAGCTGTAGACTTCCTGGTTGGGGTCCTCGGGACGGTAAAAACCAATGAAGGCTGGAAACAATTGGTGACATGGCTCAAAATCGTTCTCAATGGCTGGCGCAGATGCATCCACTCTTTGTGACTTATGATTTCCAATGAAACTGTTTTGTTCTTCGTTATTACTATTCCTTTGTCTCACCACACCTCTGTTTACTGTCTCTCTATTATGCATTTCTCCTACTTTCTTCTCTTGCTTTGTGTGCTACATGGAGTGGAGGGAGTGTGGCGACTTGAACTGCCGCACATATGTGCAAAGTTCTATGTCGAAAACCGACCGACTGACTGACCTTGGAAATTTACTTCCACTTTGAGCAAAATGTTTGTGTAATCAAGAGGCTAAAATAAGCAGAGAAGCAACACAACGTTTACGCCTTTATACTTATCCATCTTTTTTAATTGATATATGTAATACATATTAGAATATTCAAGGGTTGGTTAGTAGGGATTTGATCGATTGAATACAGGATTTCATCATGAGCTGACACCAGTTGGTTTTAGAGCCACTGGAAAACCCACACGGAGTACTGGACATCTGTTTCGCCCTAGTTTGGGACCGGCTCTTCATCAGTACGAACCCACTGGGATTCGAAACTAGGACCAGGTTCTGGTTACAAGGCGAGCTCGTATACCATTAAGCCACTGGGACCCGATCCAATGGCCAGCGCATGAATTCTAACTTCTGACAATTCACGACATAGCGCGACTCCCACTATCCACAGTCTTCGGTGACGAGTATTGTCCTCACAGCCGACCTGCTGCACTCTAGTGGTCACAACTTATCACTATAACCTACCCAGTTAACTAACTACCTGATGAATAGGGCAAGTCGCTAGTGAGCATCTATCTCATCGATATTCAAGTGTTGGTTTGTAGGGGGGATTTGATCGATTGGTTACCAGGTTTCCCAAAGGGTTCTCTAACCAACTGATGTCACCTGGTCATGATGAAATCCTGTAACCAATCAATCGATCAAATCCCCCCTACAAACCAACACTTCAATTAATTTAATTATAACTCTCAACACTTGCATGTAAAGGTATGAGAAATTTGAATAAAGCAAGAACAACAGTGTGGTTTGTGCAGAATAATATGGTACCATCATTTATTTCGTTGGCTTCTCATCCGCTGCTTACAGCCTAAATAAATTATGAGGTTTGCGTACAGAAAAGTTTTAACATAATTGCAAATTTTACATGTTGTCAGTTGACAGAAAGTTCCACAATAAGTGAACAGTGCTCAGAAAATCGCGCTTATATGTTCTTTTTACACAGGCAGTTCAAGTTTAAACAAAATAGATGTATGCATACAATGGTAAAAGAGTTACGTAATAAAGACGAAATATGCGTTAGATACATAGTGACTAATAAATTAGGTAACAATGAACTGAGTTCAACTCAAAAAATAAAAACAAAAGGCAGGCAAAATTAGAGATTATAAAAGGGGGTAAGGTTAAAGACAAAGATTACGTAATCAGATGAGAGAATAAAGTCATTCAGTTACCAGGGCTTCCTTCTGAACACATAAATCTGGTTTCAAGCATTTGATAAAAATTGCTTCGGCAAACTTGAGGAGAATCAAGAACTCCTTTGTCTATTGAAAAATTTTAAAGGATTTCTCGATTTCTACTTCATGACCCATGTCGAGGAGATGTCTAGTAATAGCGCGACTATAAGAGCTTGTTCCTTTGAGACGTAGGCTTTTCGGCACATGTTCAGAAAATCCAATCCCTACAAACCAACACTTCAATTAATTTAATTATAACTCTCAACACTTGCATGTATGAGGTATGAGAAATTCTCAGGTCATGTGAATTGCAAACACACACACACACATATGAGTCAGCAAAGACATCTACCTCTCTGTCTGTTCATGACTTCTCTTCAAAGATATACAATTTATTTATATGACGAGTTTTCTTTTTCTTATATCCCCCTGTTAATCGCCAACACAGGTCAAAGGTTAATCTAAGTTAGTTAGTTAGTTAGTAGGAAAAGTATAACTCAACGTGGATGAGAAGCAGTGGATAATCTTAAGTGATCGATAAAGAGTCATTAGGAAATAATTGATGGGTTACAAAAAAACTAGAAATTTAAAGGTTACATTGAGTATACTATGCAAAAAACAAAATAAACAAAGAAATAAGAATTTAATTGGTGGATTGTGACTAGCAGTGGAATCCAGTCCAGGATAACGCGCATTTCACCGGTCCTATTTGGGACTCGTCCCCAGCTGGATGTACCTGCATTCCCCAGTGAGTGATGATGATGTTCCCACAGAGGCTCGAACCCAGTGGACATAGTTTCAAACACCAGCCAAAGCGTTATCCACTAGACCACTTGGGCCACGAGAGCCACCTCTTGTTCAACTGGTCAAATTAATTATTTAATTGAATTGTTTTTGATTTTCCCGTCGATTGATTGATTGGACTGAAGTGCTCGATCTCAGGTTGACATGTCTGTTGGCTTCTTATGCAGATACGTTGAGCCTCCGTGGTGGGAACATCATCACTGACTCACTGGGGAATGCAGGTACATACATCCAGCTGACCACGAGTCCCAAATAGGACGAAATGCGCGTTATCCTGAACTGGATTCCACTGCTAGTTATCATCACCACCAATTAAATTCTAATTCCATGTCCAGACATGGTCGAATCATCTGCATAAGAAGTCAATGGACATGTCAACCTGAGACCGAGCACTTCGGTCCAATCCATCGACGGGAAAATATAAAATTCAATTAAATAAAGAAATAAAAATTTTCAAGTATTGTTTTTGTACGGATTGTGTTTGATTAGAGTTGGAGGATTTCATCATCAGGTGACATCAGTTGGTTAGAGAACCATTGGAAAACCCCCTGGGAGTATTGGAAAGCCAGCTGTTCCGTCAGTCTAGTTTTGGACAGGCTATTCAGCAGTACTCACCCACCACAACGGGTTCGAACCAAGGACCACGTTCTGGTTACAAGGCAAGCGAGCGAGCTCGTAGACCATTAAGCAGCCACTGGAACCCGATCCGATCCAATGGCCAGCCAGTGCATGAATTCTAACTTCTGACAATTACACGACATAGCGCGACACTGGCACTAGCCAATGTCCATCGGTAGTAGCGAGTATTTGTCCTCACACACCCGACCTTCTGCACATATTTGAATATATTTCTGTTTTTGTGCTTGGTTTTTAACAAAAAATTTTTTCATTCTATGTGTCTTTAGCAAGGCTTCAAGTTATGTTCTGTGATTCCACTGAAGTTGTTGACCGCCTGATCTCATCAGCACCAGAAAGTCTTCGACACATTATACTACTTCCCAACTCGTCATCATCGAAAAGCCAAAGCGACTCATCTCCCTCTCCTGACAACAGTCTGATAAAAACTTATGCCTATGAAGATTTTCTAGTGAGTTCCTATTTGATTTCATTTTTTTGTTAACTTTTTATTATCTGTGTCACGGTTAATATTGATTACAATAAACGTTTTTGTATTTCCCAAAGAATGAAAAAGAACAAAACGATATTGCTGTTTTTACTGACGTTTCGCTATTTAATGCTGCTGCTAATAGCTTTATCAAAGTAGTATTATTAAACCAGAAGAATTTACAAAATCCACTCAGCATATATATATAACAAAGAGTTAAGAGGTGGGTGAGAAAATAGACTACTTAGGTCAAGTTAAAAGGAGGACATATTGAAGGTCAAAATAACAATGAAGATCAATCACTAAACCAAATAACAGAGGTAATGGTACATCTGCCTTGGCTGGTATCAAAACAAAGTTTACTAACTTGATCATCGTTCGTCAGTCTGGGGTCATTTTTCTTTGTCATGACTAGATTCGAAAATAACATCTTTCAAAGCATACTCACTCCTAAAATATGGTTAACATATGTAGATGATACTTTTGTAGTACTAAAACGAGCGAGATCTACACAATTCATTCCTGGAGAAAATAAACTGTGTTTCTCCCAGAATCCAGTTTACATCAGAAGCAGGTAGAATCAGACATCGGTGAACTACCATTTCAAGATTGCCTCGTTAGTTAAGAGAAGGGAAAAGCGACATTTTAGTATATCCATATTCAGGAAGAAAACCCACTCACAACAAATATTTAGACTTCAGATCATCACACCCCATCAGCGCAAAGATTTCAGTTGTTTCAAGTCTTCTTAGACGAGCACACTCTCTGATGTTAACGGATGAGAAAGAAAAAGAAGAAGAAATATCAAACATTACTGAAACTCTCCTCGAGCAAAACAACTACCCAACGAACTTCATCAACAAAATCAACATTGACATTAAGTATGGTCGAAAACGCATTCCGAAAACATGAATGGACCTCAACAGTTGTCATTCCATATAGAGCAGAGACGTCAGACGATATCAGAAGAGTACTCAATCAGCTCGACATCAGAGTTTTCTTCAAAACATCAGACAGGCACACTGCGAAACAACCTTGTCCATATAAAAGACCAAATCCCTAAAGATTCTCTATCTACTAATTGTGTCTATAAAATAAAATGCTTGCTTGGAATCTGATGCGATATACATCGGACAAACATCGCTCGGGAGAGAGAAATCAAGGTAATCAGAAGAAATGAACACTGTAGAGCATCTATTCGACCACCGAGAAATCCGGTTGAACTAGGAAAGGTTGAAAAATCATCAGCCATAGGTCGTCTACATGCGTACTATAGAATCAGGTCACAAAATTGATTTTGACAATATTGAAATAATCCAGAAAAACTTCAGAAATCATAAAGAACGTCTAATATCAGAAGCACTTCATATCAAGTGGAATCCAAATTGTCTGAACTGAATAGGAATGATGGACTAAAACAGAATCTGGCCTGGTTACAACACCCCCACTCTCCCTCATGAAATGACAAAATCAACACGAATATGATAAGCCGCAATAAATAGCGAAACGTCAGTAAAAACAGCAACATCGTTTTGTTTTTCATTCATTGGGAAATACAAGTAAACCTTTATTATAATGAATAATAATAATAATAAATATAACCCAACGCCCAAATTTTTTCAAACTGTTAAAAGTGAACTTGGTTTGGACATAAATAACTTAGTGAATATTGATGTTTCTTTGAAAATGAAATAATAATAATAACCCAGTTGTAAAGTTTATCTTGGAAAACACCCATAATGACATTAGAAAGAAGAAGAGAACACGAAGTTCAGCAAAGATGACGATCTTTTCGGCGATTTCATTTTCAAAAGTAGCTGTACAATCGCATTTATAAAATACATAATTTTACTTACAGGAATACAATTCTTGTTTGATTCCACATAATTACGACGGCGAATAAAAGGTGACAATTATTTTCAACTAGATGGATGGTTTACGATACTTGAACTAGCGCATCCTTTAGTGCTGTTTTCAATCAATCAAGTGCAGTAGCAGTATATAGGTGGCAATCAATACAATACTTGCTACAGGATGGAGTTTCCTGGAGTCAGTCAGTTCTAGTGAGAAGTGAGGAAGAACGTCCCACCGATGACATTGGTTGGTGCCAGTCGCGCTAAATCACGAATTGGTAGAAGTTAGAATTCATGCACTGGCTGGCCATTGAATCGGGTCCCAGTGAGTGGCTGAATGGTATACGAGCCAGCTTGCCTTGTAACCGGAAGGTCCTGGCTTCGAATCCCAGTGGGTGCGTACTGCCATGATATAGCTGATGAAACAGCTGTCTGGCAGTACTCCCTGTGGCTGGTTTTCAGTGCTTCTCTAACTGATATCAATCCGTGATCAACTCTTAAAAAAAATCAATACAATACTTTGAGGTGGCAGTGTTCAAATAACACACACACACTATGACTATCTACACACTACAAAAAATGATGTTCGAAAGAGGTGAACATTATTCTCTGATACTTTTTTTTCTAATAACATTGTAATACAAATGACATAAAGATGACTGATAATGAATTCTATGCCCATGCCTAGAATTAACCTCAAAAATCAAATGGAGGATAAGTTAAGGATTAAAATTAATTGTTCCCCTAGGGAATACAAAAACCGGAATTAAAAGGTGATGATAAAATATTGAAATCCAGACAATTAAATCGTAGTAATGAGACAGGATTTTTCTTTTCATTCCTGTACGTTCCCAGTGGAACATAGGGCGCCTTCAAGCTAGAGGCTTCAAGTTTCTGTAGCAGTGGTGTTTATTTTTACAGGATGGGGTTGCTGCTGGCCTCATACCCAACCTTCCCTCTTGACCAGTCTTATTATTACTGGTTTAGCGAGCGAGGTAAAGGAGTGTGTCGGTGACTGGGGATCGAACCCCGGACCACATCAGGAGGCGTGGTTGGCGGCGAGCATTCTACCGCTGTGCCTCCGACTCACAGCATATTCTTAACTATTCTTTACCAGGAAGGCCTATGACAACATCATGGTTCTACCTTAAAGTTGTTCTGTGTGGCCTTCGGTCAATAAATTATTGGAATTTTCGCTTAGTATTGCGAATTTGATGACAGTAATCAAGAAGTGTTGATATGAAGTGTTGGAATTCTTGCAGCAATGTAGGTAAAAGATCAAACAGTCAATTTCACCTTTAGGCATAAATCCGACCTAAACAAACTGGTTGGCTCTCACGAGGTATGCAACATTGACGGCACTGAAATAGAAACCAAATCGGAAATTCAATACCTAGGTGTCATTCTATCTGCTGATCTCTCCTGTTCGTCTCATATCTTAGCGATTTCTAAGAAAATATTCCGTCTTACCTTCTACATTAAGAAGTTAAGACATTCTGGTATAACCCAACCATTACTTTTACGATTCGTTAACTCTTGCATTCTGCCTATTATTCTCTATTGTCCCCCCTTAATTTTTCCCGGGCTACTGAAGAAAGACTATAACATATTACACAGGATGTTAAAGGTTGTCAGCAGGGTAAGCAACGTGCCACTTAACCAGCTTGTTGTTATTCTGGTCGACAAGTAGGCACATGGACTCATGTGAAAAATGGACTAAATCCATTCTATCTAACTCACACCACCCTCTTCACTCACAACTCTCCCCTTGCATCTCATCAGGCAAAGCCAGAAGCCTATATAGAAAACTATATGCTCGCACTAGCAAGTACAAAAACTCAACCATACCCTACTTGGCTCGTGTTCTGTGCGATAAAGAAGGCATTAGGCGTGACACCTATAATTCATTAAATAGTCAGTAGAACAACTGGATCTCGTCTTTCCAACTCATATCATTTATAGGTACAACATTTTCTTTCTTTCTTTTCCTTTTCTCTCTCTCTCTTTTTTTTCCGTTATGTGCTGCTTTGTTTCTTTCTCTCGCTTACGCCAGTAAATATGACAGCTGCTACTTTTCTAACACCTTCAAACACTGTTCAACTTTGGCTTTGCTACCGACATGCCAATATGTTGTTGTCATAATGAACTGAGATTTCCTTAATCTATGTAGAATTCTATTTATTGTTAATGTACACAAACTGGATGCAATACTGTAGTAAAAATGCTGAGAATTCCATTCTGTATCACAAGTGTACTGTTTTGGAATAAAGCAGATTATTATTATTATTAATAAAAGTCTGGCTAATTAAGTTTCCCAAGTGCGATTGGTCGTGCAATCTGTTGCATCTAGATGCATCGTTGGAAAACTTAGGACCTAGTGGCAAAGACTGTAAATGAGTTGTCATGCCCAACCTTTCCTCTTTACCAGTCTTACTACTGGCTTCGCGAGCGAGGTAAAGGAGTGCGTTCGTAGCAGGGGATCGAACCCCGGACCACGTGCGTGATCGGCGAGCACTCTACCGCTTTGCCACCGTCGCAATTAGATAGGATAGATAGTAGGAAATCTGGCATCCCTTATTAAACTACAGAATAACAATGGCGTGCACGATAGTACCATGATATACAGTTTGTCACTGTGTATGTGAGAGAGTTCACTGGTCCCACCAACATTCCAAGCAAATAACATCTGAGAGTAGACTAACTGAAAAGAAAATTAAAGGAATTTCTTTACTGGAAATTCACTACGCCATATTAAGAACTGCAACTAAACAACGTGTTCTGCATCTTTTCTGCTGATCCTTAAGGGGCAAACTGTTATCTGGCACATATACTGGCACTTTCCTTATTGGCTTATCAGTATTTGAAAGAAGAGAACACGAAGTTCAGCAAAGATGTCGATCCTTTCGGCAATTTCATTTTCAAAAGTAGCTGTACGATCGCATTTATAAATACATAATTTTGTATGGATACAATTCTTGTCTGATTCCACTGTCCAATATTTGAACGTTGGATGTTCCAGTCGAATTAATGTCCGTGGTTGTCTGTATGCAGTGAGGCGATATGAGTAACGGAGTGGATGTCATGTCTTTTAACTGGGCTATCTTATGTTCATGGGTACGAAGACGAAGG